TGTTTTTTTTTTGTTTTTACTGAATTTTTTTTAATATTTTAAACAAATTTTTTACTTTTTAGACACACCTAACATAAATACACCTAAAAAGTAAAAAAAATTGTAAAAAAAACCTTTTAAAAATTCACTAAATACCAAAAATATAAAAAAAATACGAGAATTCAGTATATTTTTTATATTTTTATGTATTTATTAAATTTTTAAACTATTTTTTCACAAATTTTTTGCTTTTTAGATACTTCTAAGTAAGGTGCATCTAAAAAAGTAAAAAAAATATTTAGAATTTTAAAAATATTCACTAAAAAGGTTTTTTTGTGGTGGTGGTGGGGGGTAGGTGGTGGGTGGTGGGTGGTAGTAGCGGAAGACAGTGGTAGAAAATGGTGGCGGGTGATGGCCAGTGTTGGGTGGTAAAAAAAAAAAAACTGAAAACTCAAAATGGAAACACATTTTTTGTGTTTTCATTTTTTGGCTAAATTTATAAACTGAGACCACTGATTTATAAATCAAAAATTTTATCAAACAAGTTTTTATTTGAGTTTTTTAAATTTTTGTAAATATAAACAGAAAACTGAAAACGTAAGTGTTACCAAACAGCACCTAAGAGAGTAAAGTGTGAAGTTTGTTATAATTTTTTTTTTCTCTCAAAAGTCAACGTCGAAGCAATATGGTTTGTAACTCGAAACACTTAGGGTATGTTTGGTTTGGTTTGGTTTGGTTTTGAGAGAGTAATTTTTAAAAATTATTTTGGGAAGAAAATTTAAAAAAAAAATTGGTTTGTTTGGTTGTGTATTTTGAAAGTAGTTTTGGAGTTTAAGAGTTTGGAATGATTTGATATTTTATTATAATTGAGTAGATGTGTGAGAGAGAAAAAGGGATTGAGAATGAGAGAGGAGAGAAAAAAAGTGATTAATTGATGTGTAAGAGAGAGAGAATGATTTTGGAAAAATTACAAACCAAACAAGTTTTTTAGAAAAAATTTTCCAAAATTACTCTACAAAGCCAAACCAAACATATCCTTAATTTTTGACGAATTTAGACATATTTTATAGTTTGGGCCATGAACAGTTTGTTCCTTTAATATTTGCAAATGACGACATAATTCCTTTGTGGTTTGTGAATTGAAGTGCACCGTTAAGCTCGTTAATAATTTAATAAAAAATACTAAAATACCCTTGAATTTTCGTCATTTATTTGGAAGACAAAGTGTATTTTAATCTCTTGTGTTTTATTTCATGTGCGATTTACCTTATTGAATTTTGAAAATAAATATATAACTTCTTTATGTTTGCCACGTATTTCATACTTGCTGTTAAGTTGAAAGAAATATTTACACTTTAATCTATAAATCATGTAAAAGTTATCTAATTATTTTCAAACATTAAAAAAATAAATTACACATAATTAAAATTATATGAGATAAAGTGAAGTTTGTCTAAAAAAAATAAAAATAAATAAGTGGCACCCTATAAAATAGTATGATACTGCTCCAAAACTATCAAGCAACTTCTCGGAAAGTACGGAGATTCACGTAATCAGTAACTACTAAAAACCTTGCCAATGTCGTAGAATTGAAGTAACCACTTTATTATTGATTTAGGTTTCGTTTGAAAAGGGATTTTTTTAATTAAAAAATTATTAAAAAAATTAAAAAATTAATAATTCATATCAAAAAGTTAAAGATTTTATTTTATTTTTTATTTTTTACACGTTTTTTCATAAAAAGTCAAAAAGTCTTTCAAATATACTAATTTTTTTAGTTCATATTTTAGTTAAATAGTCAAAAAATTACTAAATTAACCTGTTCCTAAACGAGGTCTTAGGTCTCGAGTTGGCCATATCAACCTGAGAACATTTTAGAATTAATTTTGATAATTTGAATTATTTATTTTTAAAATTTATTGAATAAAATATTTATGTAAAATATTAAAATGATTAGATATCAATAATTATATGTTTAAACCATATTTATAAGACAAAAAAATGAATAGTTATTTTTAAAATTATATTTGTTATCTATTTTTTAAAAATAAATATAATTCAAACATATAATTATCGATATCTAATCATCTTGATCTTTTGAATGAATACTTTATTTAATAAGTCCTAAAAAGCAAATTGTTCAGATCATCGAAATTGGTTTCAAAATAGGTCTACCAAGCGTAAATGATCTCTCAAATTGTGACGACAACTTGAGAGAAAGTTATACTAACAATTTTAGTAAAAATCTTACTAAAAATACAATAGGCTCAATGTGAGCAGGATTGGTTGAACATATATGTTTTTTGTAAAATTGTTAGTAGCAGGATTGGTTGGTAGACTTTCACTTTTGGCTAAAAAATAAAAAAATCACTATAAGTTGTCACATCACTCTTTCTATTTTTTTGTACATTTTTTCGTAGAAGTCAAAAAATTCCTAAAATAGCCTGTTTCCAAACGATATTTTTAATTAATGAAAAATCATAATATATATTAAAGGGAAATTTGTTAGAAACTTCTCTTTCAATTACTTGTATTCCAATTAATTTATAAGATATTCTTATATTCCAATAAATTATACTATTTTGAACATTTGATCTATCAAATCTTAATTATCATTTCATGGACAATTTTATCCTTACCAATATTCTTTGAATCCTTAGCAACTTAGTGATACGAACATTTACATTAAATAAATTTGATAGTGTGAATGTTCACATTGATAGTACAAATGTTCAGATCATAAAATATTTAAACTGTCAATATGAATATTAATATACTTTACACTATTATTATTAATGATATTTTGATAAATATATCACTCATAAAACTTATTAGAACATTAAAATAAAAAAAAATTAAATAAAACATAAGTAAATAAAAAAAATTATAAATAAATGACCTCATGTTAAATAGACAACAGAGGTGAGTTAATATTTTTTCACTACAGGATTGATTTTAAGCACAACATGAACCATATTATATAGATGTTACAGAATTACCATGATAGTTTAAATAAAAAGTAGTCAACTATCTTTTATCCTCCTCTAATTTCAATGAGGAAAATGGGGGAGATCCCACTGGGGAGACCCCCAACACCCCAGTGGGTGCTGATTGATTGAATTTTTTTTTTTTTTCTTCTCTCTTTACCTCACGTGTATGCGGGGTGGTGGGTCCCCGCTTGGGTCTGCGGCAGTGCTCTTTCAATGATATACAATCTGTTTTCATTTCCGATGTATCCAAATATATATATGTATATATATGCATGCAATCTATTTAATTGAATTTTTGTAATTTATATTTTTATTTGTTATAAAAAGTTCGGATAAATTATAAATATATTTATTGAGATTTACTTAAAATAAATATTATCTTTTGTGATTCTAAAAATTACAAATACTCTTTGCTAGAAACTTTTTACTTAATAAAATTAACAGAAAAGATGAAATTACTAACTACTCTACTTACAATAATAAAATTATTTGAATTGTTAATTCAAATATATTCCTGACATTATTAAAAACTATTAATATATTAAAAAAATAAGTTATTTGTTGTGTGATTAGAAACTTGAAGGGATATGATATCATTTTTAAAATTACATGGGACAATCTGTATTTTAAGTAAACCACATGGGATATATTTGTAATTTTTCCATAAAGTTAATTTCATAAAAAAAAATTCAATGCGTTTGGTTTCAGTTTTCTGAATTCAGTTTTTTAAAAATTGAGTTTTTTATTTTTCGTATTTTTTTGTTTTTAGTAAATATTTTTTAAATTTTAAGTAATTTTTTTTTCTTTTTTAGATACATCTTACTTAGATATATCTAAATAGTAAAATATTTTAAAAAATTAATAAATATACAAAAATACGAAAAATGTACTGAATTTTTATTTTTATTTTTTGTATTTTTTATATTTTTGGTATTTAATGCATTTTTTTAAAGATTTTTCTCAAAAATATTATTATACTTTTTAAGTATATTTATGTTAGATGTATTTAAAAATTAAAAAAAATATTGTTTAAAATATTTAAAAAATTCATTGAAAACATTAAAATACAAAAAATAAAAAAGTAGAATTTTCTGAAAATATTAATTTTTTTAAAATTTAAAAAAATTATTGTTTCCCCAAAACAGAGAAAATCATATGAAAAAAATATATATTCAAGTCGTATCATACCTCAGTCGAAATAATATTTTCTACTATTACAGAGATAAAATTATTTTCACTAAATTTCTTCTTAATTTTTAATTTTATACTTAGCGTTATTTTAAAGTTAAACTATGATTTATAAGTTATTTAATATAATGACATTTAATTTTAGTTTATAGATTTACTTTTGACATTAAATATTAATTATAGATTAGATCTTAACAAATTAAACTAATTAATAAATTTTTATATTATTTTAAATTAAAAATAAATATTTTTTTTTACAAACATTTCAATTCGTACACATATCTTAATTTTTTTTAATTTTATCACATCAATACATTTATATTATATCAGTATCAATACTCGTAGACGTGCTTCATACGGCGCAAAGGATTCAGATTCTGCATTCAAAAGCCTTTGTTTTCAGGTTCATTGTTTTCTCTATCTATAAAAGTACTGGAGCAACTTTCTCTATATAAATACACCTTGAGGCTCAATCTAGTTGATCATGTCCGAGTGTTTACTCTCTTCTGTCACATATATATCGTTCTCCTTGTGTTTTGGTCTTGTTGTCTCTCATCGGTGTGAGAACTGAGAAGAGAGAGAGAGATCATGAACACTGGGGTTTCTGAAGGAGATGAAAGTGTTAGCCTTGAGTTTCTAAAGAAGAAAATGGCCGATTTTGCAAAGGAAAGAAACTGGGAACAGTTCCACAGCCCCAGAAACCTCCTCTTGGCTCTGGTAATTAACTCATATCTATCTATCCATCTATCTCTCTCTCTCTCTCTCTCTCTCACACATATATATATATATATATAAAACAATGATTCATATCACTAATTTTGTTGCTTTAATAGAGTACTAATGACATGACAATAAATAAAAATAAATAAAATAAAAACAAACCAAGACCAAAACATCTCATTATTCTGGGTGGAGTCCACTGCTAACTCATTAGAGCTACCTTTAGAGCTCAAAGCATTTTTCATATATATATATATATGTACTAGAGGCGACTCGGCAAGTGTATACGCGATATGTGTACAAATACTTGTAGTTTATAAGTTCTCAGCTGGTTTTTAGAATTTGGTCCAAGTTACTACCACTACAAGAAAATCCAGCTTTGGCGACTAAAAAATGAATTTTCGTCGCTGAAAGTAGGACAATCGGCGACTAAAATGGAATTAGTCGCCAAAAGTGTTCACTTTTGGCGACTAAGACAATTTAGTAGCCAAATGCATAGTTATTGGCGACTAAAATCAATTTCGTAGCCAAAAGTAAGGGTTTTGGCGACTAAAATTCAGTTTAGTCGCCAAAAGTGCAGATTTTTTGCTACTAAAAAAAATTAGTAGCTAAAAGGAGGGGTTTTGCCGACTAAACCCGACTTTAGTCGCCAAAAGTGCTGTTTTTGGCTACTAAAAAAAATTAGTAGCTAAAAGGAGGAGTTTTGGCTACTAAACCTGACTTTAGTCGCCAAAAGTGCTGTTTTTGGCTACTAAAAAAAATTAGAAGCTAAAAGGAGGAGTTTTGGCTACTAAACCCGACTTTAGTCGCCAAAAGTGCTATTTTTGGCTACTAAAAAAAAATTAGTAGCTAAAAGGAGGAGTTTTGGCTACTAAACCCGACTTTAGTCGCCAAAAGTGCTATTTTTGGCTACTAAAAAAAAATTAGTAGCTAAAAGGAGGAGTTTTGGCTACTAAACCCGACTTTAGTCGCCAAAAGTGCTGTTTTTGGCTACTAAAAAAAAATTAGTAGCTAAAAGGAGGAGTTTTGGCTACTAAACCCGACTTTAGTCGCCAAAAGTGCTGTTTTTGGCTACTAAAAAAAAATTAGTAGCTAAAAGGAGGAGTTTTGGCTACTAAACCCGACTTTAGTCGCCAAAAGTGCTGTTTTTGGCTACTAAAAAAAAATTAGTAGCTAAAAGGAGGAGTTTTGGCTACTAAACCCGACTTTAGTCGCCAAAAGTGCTGTTTTTGGCTACTAAAAAAAAATTAGTAGCTAAAAGGAGGAGTTTTGGCTACTAAACCCGACTTTAGTCGCCAAAAGTGCTGTTTTTGGCTACTAAAAAAAAATTAGTAGCTAAAAGGAGGAGTTTTGGCTACTAAACCCGACTTTAGTCGCCAAAAGTGCTGTTTTTGGCTACTAAAAAAAAATTAGTAGCTAAAAGGAGGAGTTTTGGCTACTAAACCCGACTTTAGTCGCCAAAAGTGCTGTTTTTGGCTACTAAAAAAAAATTAGTAGCTAAAAGGAGGAGTTTTGGCTACTAAACCCGACTTTAGTCGCCAAAAGTGCTGTTTTTGGCTACTAAAAAAAAATTAGTAGCTAAAAGGAGGAGTTTTGGCTACTAAACCCGACTTTAGTCGCCAAAAGTGCTGTTTTTGGCTACTAAAAAAAAATTAGTAGCTAAAAGGAGGAGTTTTGGCTACTAAACCCGACTTTAGTCGCCAAAAGTGCTGTTTTTGGCTACTAAAAAAAAATTAGTAGCTAAAAGGAGGAGTTTTGGCTACTAAACCCGACTTTAGTCGCCAAAAGTGCTGTTTTTGGCTACTAAAAAAAAATTAGTAGCTAAAAGGAGGAGTTTTGGCTACTAAACCCGACTTTAGTCGCCAAAAGTGCTGTTTTTGGCTACTAAAAAAAAATTAGTAGCTAAAAGGAGGAGTTTTGGCTACTAAACCCGACTTTAGTCGCCAAAAGTGCTGTTTTTGGCTACTAAAAAAAAATTAGTAGCTAAAAGGAGGAGTTTTGGCTACTAAACCCGACTTTAGTCGCCAAAAGTGCTGTTTTTGGCTACTAAAAAAAAATTAGTAGCTAAAAGGAGGAGTTTTGGCTACTAAACCCGACTTTAGTCGCCAAAAGTGCTGTTTTTGGCTACTAAAAAAAAATTAGTAGCTAAAAGGAGGAGTTTTGGCTACTAAACCCGACTTTAGTCGCCAAAAGTGCTGTTTTTGGCTACTAAAAAAAAATTAGTAGCTAAAAGGAGGAGTTTTGGCTACTAAACCCGACTTTAGTCGCCAAAAGTGCTGTTTTTGGCTACTAAAAAAAAATTAGTAGCTAAAAGGAGGAGTTTTGGCTACTAAACCCGACTTTAGTCGCCAAAAGTGCTGTTTTTGGCTACTAAAAAAAAATTAGTAGCTAAAAGGAGGAGTTTTGGCTACTAAACCCGACTTTAGTCGCCAAAAGTGCTGTTTTTGGCTACTAAAAAAAAATTAGTAGCTAAAAGGAGGAGTTTTGGCTACTAAACCCGACTTTAGTCGCCAAAAGTGCTGTTTTTGGCTACTAAAAAAAAATTAGTAGCTAAAAGGAGGAGTTTTGGCTACTAAACCCGACTTTAGTCGCCAAAAGTGCTGTTTTTGGCTACTAAAAAAAAATTAGTAGCTAAAAGGAGGAGTTTTGGCTACTAAACCCGACTTTAGTCGCCGGACCAAGACGCTGTCATCCGGCGAATGGCAGCGGAGATGGAGGAGCTCAAACGGCATGTCAAAGGGAAAGGTGTAGCTGGAGTGGGTGACCACAGTGAGCGCACCCCATCCCGCTGTTTAGGCGGTCAGAGTCAGCGACGCACTCCGTCCATTTCTATTACCAGAAGTTACCAGGTTGGTGATTCCGATGTGCATACAGAGAAGTCTAGCGCGCAACATAGCACTTACCGGCCCTCACGTCCGGTGACGACGTCAAGGTACTCTTATTCCGCTCATTCAGAGGATTTGCGAGCGGTCTTAAAGGAGTGGGCTCGCCGGCGGAAAGCTCAGAGGATACCGGCATTCCAGCAGTTGTCCTACGGGGTTCACGCCAGCGAGGAGGTCGGAATGCCTCCACCCCGCCAAGCAGCGCCACTCTTTGTAGATACGGACTTGGCCAGGCTGAGCGCCACCCCTTTTTCCTTGGAAATAGAAACAACACCGCTTCCGACAGGCTTCCACCAGCCTAATTTCACACTCTACGACGGAAAAATCGATCCTTACATGCATGTAAGCCACTTCCGACAGGTTATGGCTAGACATAGGCGAAATGACAGTCTTATGTGCCTAATCTTCCCATCAATTTTAGGCAAGCTGGGCTTGAAGTGGTTCGAGAGGTTGCTAGAAGGGAGTATACAAAGGTGGCATCAGTTGGCCGAAGCCTTTGTGACACGCTTCAAAACCAACACAAAAACACCAAAGGAAGTCGATCACTTACTAAGTGTCAAGATGGAACCGAGTGGCACACTTAAGGCATACAACTCTAGGTACTGGGAGACCTTCAACGAGATCTTGGATTGCCCGATCAACCTTGCAATCACGCAATACAAGCGCAGTCTCCTGGTCGGACATAAACTGCGGGACTAGCTTACGCACCAGCCGACGTCTATGGGCCAACTCATGCAACGCATCAATGAGCATATTCGAGTTGAGGATGATGCGTCGGCGTCTATCGCGAAGTCAGTTCCGGCAGCGACAGACATGAAGGCTGGAAAAGTGCATACAGTCGGACAGGAGTCCGGCTGATCTACTGACCGAGATGAGGAATCGGATCGTGGATCGAATTGAAAAAACCGGGGTAGAGGACGTCAGAATGACCGGGATGACTACCCACGGGATGACGCAGCCGATGCAAACAAGAGATTGAAAGCAAGGACCGGCATCACCACGGTCTTTAAGATTCTAATTTATCGCATACTTAGCGAAATCCGTGACGAGGAATATGTCCGATTTCCCGCTAAGTTGGGCGATAGACAGAAGGGCTTCAATCCGAAATACCGTTGTACATTTCACCGGGAGCGAGGCCACCGAACAGAGGACTGTTTGTCTTTGAGGCAACACTTGGAAGAGCTAGTCGCAGCCGGGCACCTGGATCTTTACATTGATAGGGGCGTTAAGGCAAATCAGGTTTCGGTTGATCCGCGGGGACCGGATGACCGAGATGCACCTCCTCAAGGGGTTGTGAATGTCATCCACGGCATAGTGGAACCGGCGCGTGTTTGCGAGCTCCGTGGTATGATCAAGAAGGCAGAGCACATGAGGGAAGTTTTGTCAGTTCAGCCTGCGCTCAAGAGGGGGAAGACGGAAGCGAAAGATGTGATCATTTTCTCCTCAAGGGACTTGGAGCACATTCAAACACCGCACAATGACGCCTTAGTAGTTACACTCCGCGTCAAAGATTTTGAAGTCAAACAGATCTTGATCGATCACGGAAGCTCGATCGAGATCATGTACTACGACGCTTTCAAACAGCTCAAGCTCCGAGATACGGATTTGGCCCCGGCGACATCACCATTGGTTGGTTTCAACTCACAACCGGAGTGGCCTTTGGGAAAGATTATCATGCCGGTCAAAGCGGGATCCGTGGTCAAACAGGTGGAGTTTTGGGTGTTACAAGTGCCATCTACTTACAATTTGATCCTTGGAATGGGGTGGCTTCATGCTATGCAAGCCGTGGCATTGACTTTTCACAAAGTAATGAGATTCTCCTCGGCTATGGGGGCAATCGAGGAAATTTGGGGCGATCAGGTCATGTCAAAGCAGTGCTTCGTGGCAGTCAACGGGAGCCGGGCTGCCAAAGGATTTGTTCAAATGATTGAGGGACCGGAGGACCAGGGTGTCTTGGATGATGTGGACACCAAGGCCGATGACAAAGCTGTCGAGGAATTGGTGGAGGTGCGAATTGATACAGAGCAGCTGGACAAGTTCTTCTTGCTTGGCTCAAGCCTTACAGCCACAGAACGGACCGAGATTGTTGAGTTTTTGATGGCCAACATCGAAGTT